AGGCCTCAGGGAGGATGCTACGAACATCAAAAGGGGGGCAGTGGGGGCCCCAGCAAGAGGCTTACCCTAGCCAGACCTGAGAAATGGGGCTGCAGGAGGTTGTGAGAGGCCCCTTCCCCACCAAATGCTCTTTGGCCTGGGGCGGGATCACACCTGCCCTCACTGACACCTCCTGGAGAGGTCCTGGCCACAGAAGGAACAGACCTGCGAGTGCCCTCCGATCCGTGCCAGGCCCCAGGTGGAGGCCCTTCCAGGGCTGATGCAGCTGCCCCGCAGGCCTTCCCCGAAACGCGCGGAAAGCGGGGAACAGACGTCGGCCTCGCAGTGGAGGGATGTGGAGCTCGACCACTGGACCCCAGATTCTTGGCAGAGACCCCCGCCAGCCCACGTGGAGCCAAGCTCCTCACCAAGTCTCCGCCCAGGCGCAGAACAAACTCTGTCCCCCAGTAGGTCCACGCGCAGACTCCACGCCGGGTGGACGCCTCCCGGTGCTCCCGACCAGGATCGGGACACGCCGCGGCCCTAGGCCCGGCCGCGGCCCTTCAGCAGCGTGGATGAGGGACCTGAGGACCCTTCCGGGCGGCGCCCAGACCTAAGAGCTCGTGTCCTTTCCCGCAGATTCGTGCGACGGCGTGGAGTGTGGCCCCGGCAAGGCGTGCCGCATGCTGGGGGGCCGCCCGCGCTGCGAGTGCGCACCAGACTGCGCTGGTCTCCCCGCGCGCCTGCAAGTTTGCGGCTCGGACGGCGCCACCTACCGCGACGAGTGCGAGCTGCGCGCCGCGCGCTGCCGAGGCCACCCGGACCTGCGCGTCATGTACCCCGGCCGCTGCCAAAGTATGCGGGGCGGGGCGGGGCCTGGGGAGGGCGGGGCCTCGCGGACCTGCGGTGGAGTACTGGGGCGCCTCCGCACCACACCGGGATGGGGCAGGGTCTCCGCTAGTGCGGGTCTCGGGAATTGAATCAAGAAGCAGTGCGGCTCCCGCGCGCTGCCGGGGGGGCGGGGTTGAAGACGGAACCAGAAACTGGGACCTGTGGGCGGAGCCAGAACTTGGTGGCTGAGGGGGCGGGGTTCGGGAAGAGCGGCGGCTCCGGTTATAGCCAGAGGGCGGAGCTTACGGGAGTGGGGCGAGAGGGGGCGGAACCAGATGTTGGTACCCAGAGACCGGGGCTGGCGGGCAGAGAGGGGTGGAGCTTGATGCTGGTACAGAAGGGGCGGCCTGTGGGTGAGGCGAGAGGGGCAGAGCTTGGTCCTGGATGCAGTCTCTCAGGTTTCGTGGGGGTAGCCCCCCGGTAGAGTCCCAGGGTACACTCGCGTGGAGAGCCGTGCACCCTCAGGGGCCAGGCCGGGCGTACCGAGAGGTCAAGGCTGTGGGCCCATCCGGCGATTCTCGGAGCTGTGACGCCCCTGACCCTCCCTCGCGTCCGGCCTGCAGAGTCCTGCGTGCACGTGGTGTGCCCACGGCCCCAGTCGTGCGTGGTAGACCAGACCGGCAGTGCGCACTGCGTGATGTGTCGATCCGCGCCCTGCCCGGCGCCTACCATTCCCGGCCAAGAGCTCTGCGGCAACAACAACGTCACCTATATCTCCTCATGCCACCTGCGCCAGGCCACGTGTTTCCTGGGTCGCTCCATCGGCGTTCGTCACCCTGGAAGCTGCGCAGGTGAGGCGGGGCCAGTTGGGAATGCAAACCTCCGCGCTGGCCGCGCTCAAGCTCTGCTCCTCCCTGCCCTGCAGGCGCTCGCCAGGAGCTGTCGGAGATGGAGTCGGAGGAGGAGAACTTCGTGTGAGCTGCCGCAGCACCGCCTGGCGTTCGAGGCCGTCCCTCTTTTATTTATTGTCACAGCAGCAGAATCTAATTTATGTCCCGCGGACTACTGAACCTGAGTGGGGATTTCTTGGGGATCCCAGAGCGCGCTGAAGATGTCTTGGAAGGGCGGAGGGAAGGAGACCTCCCAAAGGGCCAGTGGATGTGGCTGCCCTGGAGACGCAGCATCAGGTTAGGGGACCTCCTGGGGAAGCCCAGCCCCTATCCTAGGTACCTGCCCAGAGGACCCCGTTTCTGCTTCTTTGGAGATGCCTGTCGGTTACACCGCCAGCGCACTGGCGGCCCCTGCTAATGGTTTGTGAGAAGCAGGACAGAGGTGAGGAGGCTGGCTTCAAAGCACGGCGCTGGGGCCCAGGGCAGGTGCCCATACCAGATAAGCAAAAGGCCAAGGAAGTGGCATGGTGGCCTCCTGGCCCAAGAACTACAGGTTCCTGCCTCCCCACTACCTCTGCCTCCCAGTACTTCCCGTGAGGGCCCTAAGAAATGCCCCCATGTTGCCTGAGCAGGGTCCCATCCAGGCCTCCTGTTTCGGACACATCTGCCCAGCACCTCCCAGAGGTTCAACTGGTGAGACTCCATGGCCTCAGATATGGGGCAGCCAGCATTCACCCAGAACTGTGTCCTGTGTCCTGCAATGTGCTGTCCACTTAGGGATGACCAGATGGGGACCACGAGCCCCAGCTTACCCCAAGAGTGGGGACCAAGATTGACCTGGGCAGCGCTGGGTTCCTGCTGCCCAGTGGCAGGCCTGGGCCAGGGCTTTAGACCCAGTTCCCCACTAGCCTCTAGCCACCTGTCAGCTGGGCTGGGGGTGGCCACACCAGCTAGTTCTGGAGCCAGTCCCTGAGGCTGTTATTACCCTCCACTCAGACTGTGTTGGAGACCAGAGGCAAACCAGTGGGCACAGAACCCAGCTCCCTGGTCCAGGTGGATAGTGAGGCCCTGCCCATCTTTCTCCAGCCCAGAGAGCTGTGCTGCAAATTCCAGTGAGCATCCTGAGCCAGGGGTCCACTGCGCCCACAGGGCGGCCTTCCCACCCTGGGTTCTGCCTCACCCAAGAAATAAAGACCGAAAAGGCTACTGGGGTGTCCAGGCCCGCCTTCGCCTCCTCTCTCTGGGTCTCGTGCTGCCCCGCAGCTAGGGGGTGACTAGTGGAGTCCTGGGAACATGCAGAGAAGCCTGGGCTGTGTGCCTGGGCTCAGCTCCACCTCCAAGCAATGGAGGGCAGCAGGAGGGACTGGGTAGGAGAGGGGAGGGAGAAAAGGGGGCTCTGTGGGTGGGGAAGGCAGGGGTGGGAGACAGCTCAGGACAACCCCAAGAAGCCAGCCGGCTGGGGGCTCAAAAACGAATCCCGGCCTCAGAGTTGGGGTGCAACAGTAGTAGCCATGTGATGGTACAGCCTGGGGCGATCTCCTCCTGTGACTGGCCACCCGCTGTGGTCATTAGAGGACGGAGGCCAGGCCCACCTGAGATAGGGAGACCCCTGTCCAGCACCCCTGCACTCCAGGTTCCCCAGCCTCAGTTTCCCCACCTGGACACTGGTGGGCTCCTCGGCCTTCTCGGCAGGGGTGCTGGGGTCCAGGGTGAGAGGGCCGGATACCTCCTCAGAGGTCCGTGGGGGCATGGAAGGGTGGAAAGGACTGCGGGCAGGACAGACACTGGCCGGTAGGGCCCCGGAACTGTCCGTGGCAGAGGCTGGTGCCCGTGTGTCTAGTCATCAACTGGGTTTGATTCTGCTGTCTTCATTTGCAGCAGAGATGCCCCACAACCAGTGCCTGGGCTTCAGGGGCCCGCCATGGGGTGCTGCAGTCCAAGTGGCAGGTCATCAGCAGGGCTGTGGCTCAGGCAGCGCCCAGGCGGTGCTCTGCAATCCTAGGTGGGGGGCGGCCTCCCCGAACCACACCCCAGATCCAGGCCACGAAGGCAGAAACCTGTGTGTACACATCGGGGGTCTTGGGGTCACCGCACCAGAGGCCTGAGAAGGAGATGAGGCCATGGGCCCGGCCCATGCACACCAGAGGCCCTCCGGAGTCCCCCTAGGGTGAAGGAGAAGGGAGGTGAGGGGCCGCGGATCTCGCTTCCCTAAAGGAAACACCCCACACCCTGCTTTAAAACCTTTCAGCAGCTCCCTAGTGCTCTCCTCTGCCTTCCAGGCCCTGAGGACCCAACCTGGCCCGCCCTCTGCCCTTCTTGCCGCAGACTCTGGGCTGCAACCACACCAGCCTCAGGCTCTTCCCACGTCCTAGAGACCTGTTGGTCCAGTGGAGTCTGTGATCTTTGTGCAGTGCACCACCTGCCTGAATGTACTTAGTAGTCCTCTAAGCCATCTCTGCCTGGCATATCTTCCCTCAGACCTCAAGGCTTCAAATTTCATCTCCATGCTGCTCTTCTCAGAGAGGCCTCCCGGACACCCACCCTAAAATCTCCCCTGGTCCAACCACCCTAACTGCCCTCTGGACTCAGCTCTGACCCTAGGAAGTAGGAACTACTAGTAGCGGTTTCACTGCTGGAAGCAGTGCGGCCCAGAGACATGAGGTGGCGCTGCCTGCACTGGATTCAGGCGGGTGGGCGCTGGAGTCTGTCTATACCACGACTCTCTTCCCTGGAGCTGACGACCCTCCCTCCCGGCCCTTTCCCCAGAGCTGCCCGCATTCACGAGTTTTCCAGGAGTCGGGCAGGAGCGGCTCCCTGTGGCCCGGCTCTGCCCCCTGCTGGACACAGCTTGTGGCTGCACAAGGAGGTGCCGCTTCATGCCTGCGCACCCCTCCAGCCGAGCACCACACCCCGGTGGCCCTGGGGACGCCCCGCCCTTCCTGGTCGCAGCACCGACCCGAGGCCCCCCTGCCCAGCCCTGAACCCTGGGCGGGCGGCTCTGCCCTACGTCAGCGGGTGGGTGGGCGCACTTACCGAGCAGAAGCCGCGCCTCCGCCGGTCCGCACTGCGGGTGCAGAGCATGTGGGGGCTCAGCTGGCCCCTCCAGGAGCTATTGCAGACGTCCAGGCCCAGCACCCGGACCTCGGCCTCCATCAGTCCTGGGGGTGGCTCTTCGAAGTCCGACACGAAGCCCCAGCCGGCCACCCGGCAGCGCGCCCCGGCCGCGGGTGGCCTGGCGCCGCTCCGCGGCAGGTGCAGCAGCCCCACCGCTGGCCCGAGGACCGCAGAGCCGTTGAGCTGCGGGGAGGGGCCGACTCAGGGCGCCGCCCACGGCGCACCGACCTGGGACCGCGGCGCCCAGAGGAGGCCGTCCAGGGCCGCCCGGCAGGTGCCCTGGGCCTGCGCCCACCCGATTCCGTCTCACCAGCCTGCTCCTCCTCCCTGCCCTTAGCCCTCCGGGGCTCCCCAGTGCCCTCGCGGTCCACGTTAACAAGGGCCGGCCGACGGTTCCCCAGCCTTCTCCCTCCTGCCAGGGCAGGCTCGCTGAGGCTCTCCGGGCCTCCTGGCATCTCGTGGTGCCCGGCTGGGGCCACCGTTCCTCCACAGGGAACCTCCTCACTCAGGTTCCAGGGGGAGACCTGGGCTCTGCCCCAGCACCCTGCCAGAACCAGAACCAGAACCAAGCAGCTGCCGGTGGCCCACAGAGGTCCTGGGGGCTGCAGCAGAGCGGGAAGGCGGCCGGGACGAGGGGCTGCCATCCTCAGGCCCTGGGCTGGGACTCACTCCTGGGTGCTGCAGGCCGACTGCTGGCCTGCCTCAGTTTCCCCATCTGTCGAGGGGCCCAGCGAACGTGAGCAGCAGGTGCAGGGCGCTGGGGTGTCTGGTGAGCAGGCCCCCCCCCGGGCAGCTGGGAGTGCAGACCTCCTTGATGGGCTAGGGAAGGACGGGGCCCCCACACCTGCCCACAGACCTGTCCACGGACCTGTCCATGGAACTGGGCGGGTGTCTCCAAGGCCCAGGGCAGGTTGGGTGTGCTCCCCCCTGAATACCAGGCCCTGGGGGCACCTGGGTCCACCCGGGACTCAGAGGCCAAGCAGGAGGGCCATGCAGGGCTCCCAGGACTCCACGGAAGGGCCCCTGCAGCCCAGGGCAGGCGGCGGTCTTTGATGGAAGCCTGGACCTCAGCCATCCCCTCTTTCAAGTATAGAGCACCTGATTGTACCCTGGGTGGCCATCAAGGTCCAGAGGAGGCATAAAGCAAGGGCCCAGGTGACTCTGGTGCCAGACAGAAGCAGGGGACAGGTGAGGGGCGGGCTGCCAAACGCCAGGGAAGGGCACCCAGCAGATACTGGAAAGATCCCTGATCCTCCAGGCGCCAGGGCCGGGAGGAGGGGCACTGGGAGGCGGAGCCAGGTGACCGGCCAAGAGGGGTGTGACTGGCTCAGGTGCTCACAGGGCCCCTCCGCCTCCCTGGGTGCTCAGCGGTGGGCTCTTGCCTGGCACAGGCGAGGCCTTGGCTTTGGTCCCCAGCACCACAAAACACAAATCCAGAGGTCACGCTGGGTGTGGCCGCCCTGCTCACCCGCAGCAGGCAGATGTCGTTGGTGTGGGTGGCCGGCTGGTAGTCGGGGTGCCTGGTCACCGCCTCGATGCCGAACACCTGCCGTGTGGGCTCCTGGGGGCGCAGCGTGTGGGCCCCGAGCACCACCAGGCCCGCACGGGGGTCCCTGTGGAGAGTGGCAGGACAGAACAGGGGCCTAGCCCTGGGCCTCAGCTCAGTGACATCCCAGGAGCTGCAGGACTGGTTAGAATCCTGGTTAGGACACACTTAGAGTGAGCATGGTGCTTAGCAGGTGGGCGGTCCGGCCCTCACCTGGCACAGGTGATAGCAGTGTCCACGCGACAGCCATGATGGCAGCCACGTGGGGTCACCGTCCCCCGGCCTCCTCACCACCCCGCCACCCCTCCTCCCATGCTCCTTGTGCTGGGTGGGTCCCGAGAGACCCCGACAAGCTGTGGCGTCCACCCCGCCCCTGCAGAGCCCGGCTCCCTGCTGGCCAGGGCCAGCTCCTGCTGTCAGGAAGAACCTCACCTGTGGCTGAAGCAGTGGGCTGCGGAGACCACCCAGCGGGATCGGAGCAGGAAGCCCCCACAGTGGTGCTGGCCCCCGAAGCTCACAGAGGCCATGTAGGGCCGGGAGTGGGGGGCCACCTCACGGCCCCCGATGATCTGTGCCCCCTGGGAGCCTGCAGGGGGGCAGCTGTGTGAGGGGCCAGGCCGGGCACCAGGCAGGTGGGGACAGGGCGGGGTGGGGGAGCGGCAGAGACACACAGGGGCAGGAGAGCGCGTGGGCAGGGGCCTGGGCACCCATGGGCCACCTCTTCCACCTGGGTCCCATCCCCAGCTGAGTGGCTGCCCCAGGGCCACGGCCAGGTGCAGGGCCACCTGGGACTCCCCTGCGGGAGTCGGGATCCTTACCAGGGGCCCCCGTAGGCAGTGTCAGGGCCGCGGCCAGGGTCAGCAGCAGGCGCCCCCAGTCCCCCAGCCTGGGCCCCATGGCCAGGCAGGCTCCTCTCCCAGAGACCTCTGGGCTGCAGCCCCACCCCCACCCAACGGTCCGGAAGGGGGGAAAGGGCTGTGGGTTGTGGTCAGGAGGCCGTGGACCTCCCAGGCACAGCTGGGTGCTTCTGGGAAACCGGGCAACCTGGCCGTCCTCCGCACAGAGGCCAAAGCTGGCCCTGAGGCGTCCGGGCCCTGGGACTCTGGTCCTCCAGGAGGACTGCTGCAGGGCCTAGGTTCCGGTCTCCGGGCCTCCGCTGACCTTGGGGCTCTCTGCACCCCCACAGGGCCACAACCCAGGACAGTCCCCTCCCCACAGGCTGACCTGACCCTGACTGGGTGCATCCATGTCCCCATTGGGCAGCCTCAGCTGACCTCAGGATTGGGAGGACAAGAAGACAGTGCTCTGGAGGTTCTGACCCTGCCACCTTGGTCACACAACAGGGGCTGCGCAAAGGGGACTGCGGTCCCCTGGGGTGACATCCTGCAGGTGCCGATGGTGTCCTGGGGCCATCGCAGTGGTGGGGTCCCTGCAGTGAGGCCATCTCCATGGTGTGGACATGCCATTTCACTCTGCCACCTTCAGTGAGCCACACAGAGGCAGGGACAGAGACAGGAGAGAGACAGAGACGGAGGGCGAGGGACAGAGAGGAGAGAGACAGTAGGGAGAGAGAGAGAGAGAGAGAGAGAGAGAGGGAGGGAGGGAGGGAGGAGAGAGAGAGGAGAGAGACAGAGATGGGAGAGACACAGAGAGGAGAGAGACAGGAGAGACACAGAGAGGAGAGAGACAGGAGAGACAGAGAGGAGAGAGACAGAGACGGGAGAGACACAGAAAGGGGAGAGACAGAGACGAGAGAGACACAGGAGAGAGACAGAGACGGGAGAGACAGAGAAGGGAGAGACACAGAGAGGGGAGAGACAGAGAGACAGAGAGACAGAGAGAGGGAGGAGAGACAGACACAGAGAGGACAGAGGGGACAGAGGGGACAGAGGGGACAGAGGAGAGAGACGGCCACAGAGGGGACAGAGCAGAGACAGGGGGCGGATGGTCCTCTGTTGGCCTGCCCACCCAGGGAGCCGGGGGAGGAGCTGCACATGGGGCTCCCAAGGGTCAGGACAAAGCCCCTACCTGCAGGACCTGGGGCTGCTGAGGGAGGCCGGGGGCAGTGCACGGAGGCTGCAGCACCTGGTACCTGCAGCCCACCCCACGGGCAACCCTGTCCTTGCACCTGGTACCTGCAGCCCACCCCACGGGCAGCCCTGTCCTTGCACCTGGTACCTGCAGCCCACCCTATGGGCAGCCCTGTCCTTGTTCTGGCCACCTCTTGGTGCCCTTCGCTGCACACATGCTCCTGGTCATCCTGGTCATCGGCAGAGCCTAAACATAGTTCAGTGCTGACTTTGGTGGCCTTCTAGGCTGTCTGTGTGCCAGGGTCCCCAGGGCTCAGACCGAGGACGGTGCAGTCGGCACCAGGGCACCCTGGTCTGCGTTGCTGCCACCTCCCTCAGTTCATGGGAAGCACAGAGGCAGAGATGTGGAAGACCTCGGGGGCCCTGTGCCTGTGGGGCTGGGACCAGTGTCACCTGCAGTGTCAGGTATGTGGAGGATGTGAGCACTGTTTTTCTCCATGTGTGACTGAAGGGGAAACAGGCTCAGAGAGGGTAAGTTCCTTCATCAGGTCACACAGAAAGGGAGCAAGGGGCCAGGGCTGAAGCCTCTGATTTTGTCAGTTTCACTTCCTTCTCCTTTGTTTTTTTTTTAGAGAGAGAATTTTTTTTTAAAGAGAGAA